AATAATATAGAAATAATACGGATAATGAATTAAAAACACACCCCTTTCTTCATTCCTGAATTACATTAAAAAAAAAAAAATTACTATAAAAAATGTGTAAAATATTTTTAAAATAATGATTAATATGTGTACACTAAAGTGCATTCAAGGTCTTCAAGGTTGCGCCACTTGAGATTGTAGTCATTACATCATAAATGTTTTGCAAAAAATTTATTAAACCAACATGAATACCAAAATGACATGTCTAAGAAGACTATAATATAATATAGTGTTTTGCATTATATTATATTTAATATTTGGCATTGACTCATAATTCAGGCTTTCTCTTATAGCTCCAGAGGTGGTCGGCAGACAGAGATATGGCAGACCGGTGGACTGCTGGGCCATCGGGGTGATCATGTACATCCTGTGAGTTCATGCGTCGTTATTTTATACATTTCAATCATTGTGTGAGATGGTCCAACATATTCATTTCATTGTGCTTTTGAACCAGATCTTTCTTTATTAGTAGACCCCATAGATGTCTGTTTTGGAGTCACTTGCCTGACACGTTCTTGAGTTCATCAGCATGTACATTCCATTTCCAGTTGTCACATTGCGTGTTAGATCATCATTGCCACTCTGTAAGTGCACAGTATTTCCTGTATCAGTTTCTCTCCCTAATCCCTCCTCAAAATCAGTTGTTGTTAATATGGTGTTATGGTCCTAATGAACCCCTTGCCCTAGGAAATTTTTATGCTCTGGTCATATTATTATTTTTAACAGACTGTCAGGAAACCCACCTTTTTATGATGAGACAGAAGATGATGATTATGACAATCATGATAAGAACCTGTTCAGGAAAATTCTGTCTGGAGACTACGAGTTTGACTCACCCTATTGGGATGACATCTCAGATTCAGGTACAGTACACAAATCACTGTACAGTAGGTGTGAGATGGATCTGTGGGATTCTGATCAGAACACAAATTCAACTATTCAACAAATTCTTTGCAGCAAAAAGCCTAGTTGCATGTTTAATGGAGGTGGATCAGGACCAAAGACTGACCGCACAGGAAGCCATCAATCATGAGTGGTAAGGAGCCTTTGCCAGTACAGAATCTGCATTTTATCATTTATCTGCAGGTTAATTAAAAATTAACTGCTGTCCATCTTTTTTTTGTTTAGGATATCTGGAAATGCCGCCTCAGACAAGAACATCAAAGATGGTGTTTGTGCTCAGATCGAGAAAAATTTTGCTAAAGCTAAATGGAAGGTAAGGTTTCAAATAAATTTACTTTCTATTAATCAAAGAATCCTAAAGTAATGTGTCATGGTTTTCACAAAAATATTAAACATTCATAATAATGAGTAATGTTACTTGAGCACCATATTAGAATTATTTCTGAAGTATTAATTGACACTGAAGACTGGAATGGTGACTGCAGAAAAACAGTTATTTTAAATTGTAATAATATTTCACAATATTACTG